CTTGTAATTTGTATTCCTCTGTAACATCGGTCATTCCTTGGGCATAGGCTTTTTCGTTGGCCGCTTTGATTTCAGCGTCTTTAGTGGCCAAGGTCTCCTGAAGTTCCTTTTCGGCTTGGGCCTTTTTGTCCTCGGCTTCTCTCTTCTCGGCCTCGGCAACCTTCTTGATGGCCTTAGCAGATTTGGCCTTTTCTTCGGCTAGGGTTTGGGCTTTGGTGGCAGCCTCGGCCAGGTCCTCCAGTTTTTTCATTTTTGATTGAAGAGTTTTGTTCTCCTTTTTAAGGGCAGAAACCTCCCTCTTCATGTCGGCCAACTTTGCCCTATTTTCAAAAGCTTGCATAGAGAGAGAGTGGGCATGTTGAATGGCCTGAAAGAGCACAGGGCAAAAATTATTACAAAATTTTACAAAGTAAAAGAGAAGACAAGTTTCCATGTAAAGACACTTACTTGGACAGAACGTTGGAGCATAAAGGCATAGTTCTCGTACTCACTCATCTTGGCATTCCGCTCAAGATCACCTGGGAGAAGTAGGGCGGTACTGAGTGCTACGCCAACATTAATATCATCGGCACTATCGCTGGCAAGAACAGGCTTATCTTCTAAAGTAATTTCAGGCGTCCAAGGGACTTTTGGCATTCTGGACCCCGAGCTCGTCGTAGACGATGACCTCGGCTTCTTTGATTGTGTGGACTTTGATGGCTGTGTCTCAATAGACCTTTTTTTGGGAACGGAGGCCGTCTTCTCACTCCCTGCCAATTGTGAAATTGTCAGGGTATCCTCAGCCTCAACTTCAGTGGCTTTAGCCTTTGGCTGGGCTTTCTTGGTTCGCTTCGGCTTTGGTGGGGGCATGGTTTGCGTCGGCTGAGCATCGACGTCAATAGGGAGATCGGCAAGGAGGTCTTGAGCAACGGACTTTGGGCGACCCATCTCAGCAGTTTTGACAAGTCTTCGCCGACGTTTTCGTTCTTGTATTGGGACCAAGTATGGGGCCAAAGTAGATGGTTGATTGGTTGGGTCAGATGTTGACTCTTGATCTGTTCGTGATGTAGAGGCGGTTTGAGTTGTGGCAGTACGAGGAGAAAGGCTTTTCTTCTTTCTTTTGGGGACGTTGGGCAAAATCGATTTGTATGTAGGAATAAAGTTGAGAAGAAGAGGTGCTTTTCTTTTGTGAACTGGCAAGTCCAGGAGTTTTTTCAGGTCCTTACTTGGAACGTAAGATTGGCGGAAGTTTTTCGCTGGCTTGCAAACGTCTGCAAGAAGAAACAAACATTAGAAACAGATAAAATATTGAAGACTTGAACAGAAACAACTAAGTATTGACACTGGGCTCTTACCCTTGCCCTCTTCAACTGATCGGGGAAAAGGGTGGAGATGGGCGTCCTCGTCTGCGCCAAACTCCCAATTTCCCGAAGTAATAACATAATCATCTCCAGCCCCCTTGTTCGAGTCTGGAAGGTCGGCTACGATTTTGAATTCAGTGGACCTCAGCTTAAGATAATAAATGAAGCCTTTTTCTTTCAAGTTAAGGGCACACATGGTGTAACAATACTGTATGTCGGCTAAGGTGATCCTAACGTTTTCCTGTTTAGCTAAGGCGATAATACCAAAAATCACTCGATAAGAGTTGATTGCCAGTTGCATGGGGTTCAACTTATAATAATGAAGAATCTCGCGAAAAAGGATGTTGAGTGGGAGCCGGAGTCCGCACTCAGTAAAAGCTACAATGGGAAGGGGCATGGCGTTTTCTGTAGGCATGATGGAGTCGTCATCCCCAGCCAGTCTCAGGTGGACATCGGCAGGGATGGAGAACTCTTACCTAAAGTACTCAAGTTTGGTCGGGGTATCTACCCTATGTCTCCACATACCCATGATATCGGCTTCTATTAGAAGGGTTGAAATTCAGAAAGATGTTTCTTATTGATGGGACCTCGGCAAACAGTGAAAGTAGGTATAGGTTTTAGTTTTTTCCCAAGTTATGGGTTCTACAAACAAATCCCAAACCTAAAGCTATGAAGACGAAGATCAAAGGTACAGATCTGGAAAAGCTACAAAAAAATAGAAAACAAATACGAAGTTTCAGAGTCAAGAACAGAGATGGACTATTAAGAACATGAAGAATACAAAGGGTTGAAGGCCAGGAAAAGGGTTGAAGGCCAGGAAACAGTAGCAAGACGTGCAAGAAACACTAAGAACAGTACATGTATTCAGGGCATAAGCAAAAAAACAAAATTAACGTATTCAGATGTATGATCTACAAATTGATTACTTAAGTAAAGCAGTAGTAAACAAGAAATTTTAGGAAAGATCAAGAACTGGAATAGAAAGAAACAGATGCTTACCAGAAAAAGGGAGACCGGAAAGGGATTTGCTGACGTCCTACGACGGTTGCAAGAGCAGAAGACCGGTGGAAATCTCGCCAGAAGGGGTGAACGGAGAAGGATGCAGAGCTTTGGAAGCTTGAGCAATGGCGGATTTGAAAGAAAGAGTTTTAGAGAGAGAAAAAAGCAAGAGAACTCAGATGCAAAAGTGAAGAGACGAAAGAAAGGGGGAAAGATTTTGTCAAAAAATGAAAACGGCGGCAAAAGCAATCAATACGCCTAAAAAAGCGCATACGTCAGACGGCGCATGTGAAGAAGAGATGACTTATGGGCACGTCACAGGCACGAGCCAGTAAGAAAGAAACGCGTGTCTAAAACGGTTGAATTGAAGTGCATGATAGCTCATGCGCGTAAAAAGCTCCTTAAAAATCTTTGATTTTTTAGGGAAAGCGTGTCGGCTAGAAATGAATGATCTCGGCTGTCAAATCTTAAGCCGATTTACTGGAAGAAAATACAGATATAGGTTCCATCACCTCAGAATGTCGAGGTAAGAACCTAGGGGCAGTTGTGGGGATGTATTTTCTGAATACCAACATGTGGCAAGGTGACACCGACGTGTTAGCCGAAGTGCCATATGTCCTGGTTGTGACGCCGAGGTTATCTCGGCGAGGCCGAGGTTATCTCTGAAGATATCGGAATCTGAGATTAGCGGATAATGGATAAGGGGCAAGAGTCCTAGAGAAAAGAGAAGACTTTGCTAAGATAAGGATAAAGCTCTTAGGGAGTTTATCTTTATCTCTTAAAAAATTCGTGATCACCCCTCTTCTCGACCAAAGTTTTATTACGATTCAGTATCCAATTTCTTCCATAACATCCTTCATCCCCCTCTAGTTTCTTCTGTTCATTCAAGTAAGCTTGAGAAATATTATGATTTGGGGTACTTAAAAGTCAGCACTGGTATGGATAAGGTAATTTAATTTCATAATGTATCTGTGGGGATATATTTTCTGAATACCAACACGTGGCAAGGTGACGCCGACGTGTCAGCCGAAGTGCCACGTGTCCTGGTTGTGATGCCGAGGTTATCTCGGCGAGACCGAGGTTATCTCCGAAGATATTGGAATCCGAGATTAGCGGATAATGGATAAGGGGCAAGAGTCCTAGAGAAAAGAGAAGACTTTGCTAAGATAAGGATAAAGCTCTTAAGGAGTTTATCTTTATCTCTTAAGAAATCCAAAGTAAGTACAAAATTGGAGTCCATAGAAGTCAAGCTTCCAGTGGAACTAGGATTGAGTAAACTATAAAAAAGAGGCACCCCCGTGGGTCTAAGGTACACAGTTTTATGCTTTGAGTAGTGAGTTTAGCACTTGATTATCTTTGAGAGATATACTGACTTGATCGTCGGAGTGCCCCCGGGTGGAAGAGCCACCGCCGGAGCCTTTTCTTTCTGTTACAAGTTTGCTGAAGCCATCTATTCTGCCGGTGCTCTTTAGCTGATTACTTGGCGGGCAGTGTGGTCAGAAAATCACTCACACAGTATCTTTTGTAAAATAAAAATATTGTTTTCATGGACTACTTAAAAGCTCTGAACTTACTTCCCTTTTAATTAAATTTTATTTTCTTCCTTTTACTCCCAGCTTTATGAATTTGTGCCTACACATCTCAAGTAGAACCAATGATTTCTGATTGCAACTGGTTTCATATTGCCCCAATACTCCTAGCAAGAGGCTGGGAGTTTTAGCTACCTCTGAACTGCATATACAGTAATATGATGGGGGCCATAATGTACTTAGGGATATGCAGTCTACGATCACATGGTCAGAAGCATTGTGCGGAAAAAATGCGATAGCACACATCTAAACACTAAAGCCTTGCCTACTTAAAGTATCTGTCACAGCCCAAAGAGGCTAGGACAAACAAACACATAGGTAAATAAATTACACATAAAATGCCTCACATCAAATCTGTCCATGAGCCATCAAATAGCCCATAGACTGTAAATAAGATCAGACACGTGCTGAAAGTTCATGTGAATTGAAGCATATTAGATAGAGATTAGCTGAAGGGAGAGAGCTAGGTTCTTGTGGCTTAATGGAGATAGAAAAACATATATATATATATGTGTGTGTGTGTGTGTATTTATTTATTTATTTTCACAAGATAGCTAATGCCCACAAAAGGTGCAACTGTGCAACCATATAGGAAGTGTTGTGGTGAATGGAGTGGAGATGAGGAGGAGATTCAGGGAGGAGCTAGTTTGTTTCCATAAGCAGTTGTATACTGAGAATTGAGAAAGGAGTTCTTGTTTGGATGGCTTAGTGTTTGTTTCTCTTTCTAAGCAAATATAATATAACGAAATTGGAAAAACCTTTTTCTAAAGAGAAGATTGTGGCAACTCTTATGCTGTGTTTGATTAGGGGATTTGGGGAGGGATTTGGAAAGGGAAAGGGAAAGGGAAAGGGAAAAGGAAAAGATATGTAAAACTAGGTGAAATATAGGTATGTTATATTCACATTTTATCTACCTTTTCCATTTTCTTTTCCAAATCCCTTATCAAATCCTCTAACCAAACACAGCATTAGGGACTACAACAGGGACAAAGCGCCTAGACTAGATGAGAAGACTACATATTCTCTTCTTGCAGGTTGGAGCATTGTGAGAGGGTAGGTACTGGCTTTATTTCAGTACTTTAATGAGCATGTCAAGTTTGGTGGGATGCATCAATAATTTGGTGGCTAAGAAGTTGGCGCTGAGATTGAGGAATGTAGTGGGATTAGTGTTTTTGGATTCCCAAAATACTTTTGTTAATGGGAGATAAATTTTAGTTGCGGTTCTCATTGCTAATGAAGTGGTAGATTCAAGAATTAGGAGTGGAGCCTTAGGTGTGACATGCAAACTAGACATAGAGACTGCATATGATAATGTAAATTTGGGTTTTCTAATTTATATGATGTAAAGGATGGATTTTGGGGATAGGTGGAGGTTGTCGATCCCTTTTTTCTTTTTGTTTTTTTTTTTGTTTTTTCTGTGTGCGCGCGCATTCGGCAGCAATATTTTCAATCTTGGTTAATTGGTCTCCAGCAGGTTACTTTTCTAGACCTAGGGGGGTGAGATAGGACGATCCATTATCTCCCCTTTTGTCCATCCTAGTGATGGAGGCTTTTAGTAGATTCTTGTCCAGAGCGGTTTGGGGTTTGAAGTAAGCAGAATTGGTGGTGCTTTTGAAATGGTGTTTCACTTGTTTGTTGACATCCCATCATCTTTTGTTTATTAATTGAGTAGTTGTTGATCCCCAATTTATTAGATTTTTTTTTTTTTTTTGGTTTTCTATTTTTCATATCACCTACTTACTTGGATTCTGATTTTTGTGGGTTTGTTGTATGATGAATGATTCCAGAGGAAACAAGAAATGCAAAAAGTTGTAGAAAAGAATGCAGAATTGGAGAACCAATTTACACAATTAACAACTACTATTGATCAACTCAAGTCTTCATCTTCTCATGCAAGTAATAGTAATGGTATCTTTGTTCTGTTTTTTTTACTGGCATACCCAAAGTCACAACTATATTTCTGTGCTTGTGTTTGATTATAATCCTTTTTCCTCTCTCTCTCTCTCTCTCTCCCCCCTTTTTTGCTTCTTGTTGGAGAACAGGAAACTGACTTGACCACTCCCATGGACGCAGAACATGGAATCCAAGGCCACGAGACAAAAGATCTTGTTAGCTGCTGCCTCATAGTTTTTATTTTTTTAGTTTCTGTTCTCATTGGTATGAATCTCTAAGTAGTAGCTCAAGATATTTCTGTTCTCATTCTTATATTTTAGTTTTTGTATTAGTTTGGTCATTATAATTTTAATTGGTTCATTTTAACTTTAAATTTATGATTTTATTTCGATTTAATTCAATTGATTATAGTATTTTTTTTATATAAAAATCTGAACATAAACGGCAGACATATGTTATGTTTTTATGGACAAGTAAACTTGTTCAAATAAGAGAGTTACCTTTAACCAATTTGGGGACTATTTTCTTTTAAAAATTGTAATGGACAAATTAATTAGACCAAATTGATACAAATTTTAAAATTAAGAGTTAAAATAAAATCAAACTAATTAAAATATTTAGAACCAAAATAAAACAAGAGACAAGATGAAGAAACTATCAACAAAATTTGCCCCTCCCCAAAAAATTCTCTTTTGTTAGTGTTTGTACCTTTTTTTGGCAAAATTGTCACGTGGCAATTTGCTCAATTATTTATGTCATGTGGCAATGAAGATGAAGAGCTAATGATTTTATGGGACCCACCATCGAAGTCAAATGGCAGCGGAGCAAAATGGAATTATTTTATTTAATTAATTAACTAAGTTGATTGGTTGATTAAATAATTGAATAAAATAATTTAAATTTGATAGAGAAGGCAAACCTTAACCCTTCCAAAAATTAGGAGGTTGTTGAGGCTTATCCCCTAAAAAAGTGCTTTATCTCATAATTTGTTGGTAAATGATTGATATGAATAAAAGGTTCTGCTCCATCACAAGATTCAGACCATCTCTCAAAACCCACAATTCCGCCTCCATACTGGTAGTAAACCCTATGTTCCTGCAGAAACCTGTCACCCACTACCCCCAAGTGATCACCAATTAAACCACTTGCAAAAGTTGTACTTGGATTTCCTTTGGCAGCCCCATCAATGTTAAGCTTAAACCAATCTCTTTTGGGAGGTAACCAACCAACTGAGATACAAGACTTGCTTCTACTACTAGATTGCTTCTACTACTAGATTGGAAGGTTGATAGGAATTTCCACTCAGTAGCTTGGGCCAACACAGAGGAAAGTTTTAGGATTGGTGTTTGATTGGTGGCAAAGAGTTTGGTGTTTCTGTTTTCCAAATGGCCCAGCAGGCATGGGGAAATATAATGGGCCACTTTAAAGATGAATGATGGAGAGAATTTGATTGACAATTTGCCTTCGCCCACTCCACTAGACTCAGAGAAAAAGAATGAAGATCAGATAGAGGAATGCTGATTCTAATCCAAAAATCAAGCACTATAGCATAGTCTCTAAGAACATGGATAGTGATTTCAGGGCTACCACATGATTCACAGAAGTTGTCATTTACCATCTTTCGATGGAAAAAGAAGGGATTTGGTGCAAATTCTTTGACGCAAAACAAGCCAAAAGAAGTGAATAACTCTAGGGATGGAAAGGATTTTCCAAACCCAGTCCCAGTTTGGAAGAGACTCGGAAAAGGTGTAGACATTTGCTAGAAGTACCCATCTGTTGTGAATTTCCAAGTGACATGATTGGGTTGACTACCAAACAATTGGGGGGAAAACTTGATTAACCATTGAACTGTGCTAAAAGGGATATTAAAGGAGATATTTTCCAGATGCCAAGAGTTGTTCCACCAATAATCTCTTACTTTACTAGCGAACTCCTCACAAGTAGGGGGACCTGTCACAGAGTTTCTAATTGGACCAAGTCCTAGCCAATTATCCCACCAGAAAGAGGTGTTGAGACCACTCCTAATACGAATGCTAGTGCCTGAAAGGAATAGGTATTTACCTTTTTCCACACCTCTCTAAAACAGAGATGACCTATTGTTAGAATTTTGTTCATACTTGGCTTGTAGAACCTTAGCCCATAAGAAGCTAGTGTCAGTAGCCAGCCGCCAGTTAAGCTTGGCCATAGCAACCGTATTGACAATTGCTGTTTGACGGATGCCCAGCCCCCATGTTGCTTTGGTTTGGTGATGGTTGACCATCCAATCGGATGTAACTTGCGTTTTTCACAAGTAGAACCCCGTAAGAAATCCTTGTTGATTTTGTCAATGGTAGAAGACATAGACTTTGGGAGGTGGCTACACTGCATGATGTGGTTTGGAATAGAAGAATTCATTAATTTGATGAGGGTATGTCTCCCAGCTAAAAAGAGAATTTTTGATTTCCAGCCAGACAATTTGGTGGTGTTTATCAATAATGAATTGAAAGTTACTGGCCTTGGTTCTGTTATGATGAATGGGGCGGCCTAGATATTTTCCTTAAAGGTCTGGTTTTGGAAATTTGAAGGCAATCCGCAAAGAAAACTTGTTTATCCAAGTCTACGTTATTTGGGAAAATGATTTCAGACTTGTTCAAGTTGACTTTTAATCCTGAAAAGTTACAAAAATCATTAAAAATGGCCAAGATATTGGAACAGTGTTGCTCATTAGCCAACACAAACAGAATAAGCTCGACTGCAAAAAACAAATGAGAGAGTTTATGACCAGACCTATAAATCTTAATGGGCTTTCACATTTTTTTGATACAAGCCTCTGAAATTGCTATGGAAAGGTACTCAAGACGAAGAATAAACAAGTAAGGAGATAATGGGTTTCCTTGCCTTATACCTCGAGTAGAAGTAAAAGTTTTCGGGACCCCCCCTCCCAATTGAAAAGGATGGATATAGACGAAGAAGAGACACAAGAAATAATCAACTCAATCCATTTTGGAGGAAAATTGAAGAATGGAATGCTTTTTTCGAATAAAGCTCCATTCAGGGCGATCGCAGGCTTTTTCCAAATCAATTTTAATGAGCATATGGCCAACAGACCATATTTAGCCTCAAAAGAGTCTACTTCTTGAACAATGGCTACATTATCAGTACCTACTCTATAAGGGATGAAGTTAGCTTGGAAAGGACTGATGAGGACATCGAGAAAGGGTTTAAGGGCTATTTTGGGAACTTGGCTAAAAGGCACTTTTTTTTGTTAGTAGCAAAAGCCAAAAGTTGGCTTTTTTGGTTTTTTTCTCATTTGGCAAGTTGGTTTTTAGCCAACGGTGAAATTACAATTTTACCCCTCATGGGTCACAATGTGTTACATAGGTTCAGTTGTAAATATTTTAAATAAATAGGGGTAGTTTAGTCATTTTATTATGATTTAACATCATAAACAAATATTAATCAAAAAAGTCAAAAGTCACTTTTTACCAACTTCCCAAATCATTTGTCTACAAAAGCCAAAAGTTTGGTTAAAAGCCAAAAAGCCACTTTTTACCATCTTCCCAAAATAAGCCTAAGTCTAGTTGATCACAATAATATTGATAATGAGCTTATAGATAGTGTTGCAAAGACGAAACTGGGTCGCATACTCAGGTTTATCTAATTTGGGAATGAGGCACAGAAAGGTGTTGTTTAGATTGATATCTATTTTACCAGTAGTGAGAGTGTGAGAAACCACATTTACAACCGAAGGTGGAAAATATCCCATCATTTTTGAAAAAAACCCGGATGCAAGCCATCTGAGTTTTGTGAATACCCATGAAATGATGGGTTTTTATTTGAGAAAAATGATAAAAATTTTATCCATTGATATATGCTTGAGATATCCATGGATGGATGGATTGTTGTTGAATAAATTACCATAAAATGATATGATTGAGATATGCTTAGATTATAAAATTTGATATTGATTGTGAATATGAAATATTGTCACATGTCACGTATATATTGTTGGGTGATATTCAAGAATATCACTCAACATTAATTTATTTAATTGCATTCAATTTCATTCATTGCATAGCTTTCGAATAATATTTTATTAAAGTTATGGTTTTGGAAAATTGAATTATGATTTGAGAAACTTTCGAATTTGAAATGTTTTGGGATAAGTACGTTTGGTAAGTCCGGATAGGGGGTATAGTTGATTTTCGTTAAGTTGGCTTGAGGTCCTTGGTGAAAATCCAGAAACCCGCGCGTTATGTTCCAAATTTTCTTTTGGTTATGAGCCTGTAAAGTGGCGACTGGTAGTGCTTGATATGCCTACTTGCAGACACCAGCTTAGAGATTACTTGAGTTGTATTTACCGCCCTGTGTTTGTATTTCAAATTTATTAAGAGACGGGTTTTTGAATTGAGCATTGCATATGATTTTCGAAAGGATAAAATTCATATTTTGGAGCATGACATGGCATCACATCCATATTATAATATTGGCGTAAAACATATATATACTTTATTAAGATCTTCTTACTGGGTTTTGTGTTCATCGCTAGTGGATTTGTGTAAGTAAAGGATGTGGATATTCTGCCTTGTTGAAGGCGAGTGGATGTTTTTGAGAGCGCAAGACTCTTTTGCTTATTTATTACATTTTTGACAAGCCAAGAGCTTATGTGTATGGATTTATAAACCATTTACTTGCAATCGGGCTTAAGCCTTGGAACTTGTAGCTCGAGAGGCTTTCTTTTGTATTTGTTTTCTTTTCTTATATTACCTGTATCACATGTTATAGATTCATACTGTAGAGGAGATTGAATATGTAATTGCATGTGGACCTCTTTCGTAAATCTCTCATATATTAAGAAATACAACTATGGAGATTTGATTAGCAACATGATGACCAGAGTTTTGTGATTATTTGACTTAAAGGGATTAAACCATGATTATTGTATGTTAATTATTTAGGGCGTTACAGAATCCACTCGTAATAAGTCACCCAATCTCTAGATTTCAGTTTTGGTTTCTAGTTTCTTGAACGTGTTCATCATATTATTCATACTTTGTCCAGATTTATCTAGTTTTCCCAGAATTTCTTGTACATTCAACTCCTTTTTTGCATTTACAGACTAAAATTTGAGTTTGATCCATTAGAGAACATATAATTTAGAGGATCCGTGATCCATCAATAAAATTTCCAAAACCCCTGCACTGAAAACCTTAGATTGAACTTGCCAAGAACACACTGTCTGAAAAATGGATATACACAAGTGGCAGGTAGACATCCCGGCCAAAATCTAAGGCTTTGTTTGGTTTGTGTTTGTAGAGTAGTTTTTGAGATAAAAAGTACGAAAACTTGTTTGGGTTGCCTTTTTTCAGAATGGTTTTGGAAAATTATTTTGGG